TAATCACATGATGATTTTAGCAATTTTTTTGTATAGACATATGCGTTTTAATTTAAATAGAAAATGGTATTTATGTATTGCTGTTAATATCAAAGGTATTCTTGTATAACAAGATTTAATTTATTTTATGACACAAAAAAGTATTTATTAATTATGTTGAAAATGTAGAATTTAGCTACTTTAATACATTTAATAATTCGCAAAGTGATCATAAAATAAAATCAATTGTGTGGTACACGAAATGCTACTTATACACTATATTTCATTTTACACAACTGCGCGACTAAGTATACATTTAAGGTTAATTGCTCACAGCTGAATATATAAAACACACGTTATACAAAAAAACACATTCTGTAGGTATTCAGAGAACATTTTGCGAGTAACATCGTATTCTAGTGCGTCGTCATATGAACAGCATATAAGCTGTTAATCTAGACAGTACTTTGTACGTGAATATATTGTCATCACACGCAAGAACGACTTATTCATTCTAAGTATGTAATACACTTTCAAATTAAGAGTAAATAACTTACAATATATTAGCAATTTGCTCGTTATTTGTTGGTATATTGGATGGGTATTCGATAGATTCTTGTGCGCAATATGCACGTGTGTGCGCGATGAAATATGTTAACAAACAAAATTCAGACAAATCACATATAAGATTTACATATTTAACGCGCGCAAACCGTGCACGCAAAAATTATTATCTGGATATATAAAACTATAAAATGTATAAAACAGAAGCAATATATAAAACAGTATTATGTATGATAAAATGATATATGATACTCGTAATGATTTGTTTATGCATGTAAAACCTGATAACCAATAATTGAATTAGATTTTATTATGGTATTTATAATTTATTCTGTTTTTGTTTTTAATGTGTTCAAGCAAAATTATGTATAACAAAATCTTATAATAAAAAGAGTATTTGCAAAATGTACTTTACTATGTTGTGACAATTCCTTAGTTCGTATCACTGCGCACTGTTTTCAAGAAAGTTTAAGTGAAAACATTTGTATGCTATCTAACATTTTTTTCTGAATTGTCACTGTTCTGTGAATAAAAGTGAGTTTTAATCAAAAAGAACATTTTCTTAGTTACTTATCTTTTTTTTATTTTCACACGTATTGCATGAAAATGATACGCGTATCAGGCACATTTATAATAATGTAAATAGCAGAACTATTAGTAAAAAACAAATTTTATTTAA